GGTAGTGAAGATCTGTTGCGCTATTGCACCTACAGAAGCTTAACCGCTTAACCTGACCCTGGTAAGTAATCAAAGAGGCGCGAGGGGTAGACCAGTCTAACGTCTAACCTCGGTGATCCAAAATGGCGTATGCCGAGTAAAAAATCGAAACGCGCAATTCCAATCAATATCTTTCTAAATTTAACAATTCAACCGAAAATTCGCCAAATTGTGATGTTATGACGCGGCCGCCGAGCGTCAGTTGAGTTAATAATGCAAGAGTTCGTCCTGGCCGCGTTCTCGTTTGTCTCCAGCCTGCTGATCGTCATCGCCCTCGTGTTGTTCGGTAATTCCAACCAAGCCAAAAGGTTAACTTCGCTCCCGCGCGATTTTAACAGAATTTCTCTCGTAAATCCCGTTGCATCGAAAAACCAGATAATATAATATATAAATGAATAAATAATATCGACGAATTGTATCCATATAAGCTGTCCCTGTATTTTCCTTAGTTCTTGTAACATTTCGAGTCATCGCGCATCTATTTCTTTGCTATTTCAAGTGTCTCACTTTATTGTGGAATTTCCTATGCTGGTAAAGCGAGATTGTTGGTAGTGTAGAGATGCTTGATTGTTTTTTCGTTGTTGCAGGCTGGTATTTAGTGTGGAAGTTCTTTTTGTCGAGGTTCAAGTTCGTCAAGGAGCTGCTGGGTGGGATGAACGAATCCTCACCTGTTCACGATTTGAAAAACGGCAGATCGCGCGTGAAGAAGATACGCAGGGATTAAGAGGCAAATTGAGGGAATCCAGACGGGGTGATATAGGTAATTACTGTACTTTTTTCTATACTGGGAAACTATTTTGATGATTTTTATGATTACGGATATAGTAGCAGAGTTACAAGAAAATTATATTGGACCTTTTTTATAGAGGACTACAATTTTTGTTAACGTTTTTTATAGGATCGACGATTTACAAGTTGTTTGTAATAGACAATATGTAGTATAGGAAATTGTAGAGTCTCGTACTTTCGACGATTACTCAAAAACTATTAAAAGAAAATTGTATAGAACCTAATTTGTAGCTAACATCGATATTTTCACCTTCCATTTAAAACTTTTTTCTTCATTCTCAATAATTACTAAGTTATATCATCACCAATACTCAATCTAAAAAAAAACTGTACATTTCGTTTGACACAGGAATTTCTCAGACCAGCTTAGCGCTGTTTCGAAAATGTCGATAAACATTCGTTGTGCAACGACAGAGGATCTCCTGAACATCCAGCACTGCAACCTGCAGTGCCTGCCGGAGAACTACCAAATGAAGTACTACCTCTACCACGCGTTATCCTGGCCGCAGCTGAGCTACGTAGCAGAGGACGAAAAAGGTCGAATCGTCGGTTACGTGTTAGCAAAAATGGAAGAAGATTGCGAGGACAACCCTCACGGGCATATAACAAGCCTCGCGGTGAAGCGCTCCCATCGTCGCCTGGGCATAGCCCAGAAACTGATGAACCAAGCGTCCCGTGCGATGGTCGAGTGCTTCAGCGCGAAGTATGTCTCCCTCCACGTACGGAGAAGCAACCGCGCGGCACTCAATTTGTATACCAGTAGCCTTCAGTTCGAGGTGTCCGAGGTCGAACCGAAATACTACGCGGACGGCGAAGATGCTTACGCGATGAAGAGAGATTTGAGTAGCTTCTATTTGGAGAAGGGCGCGCAAGGGAACAAGGAGGCGAAGGAGCATGTGCATACCGCGAGGTGCTGCGATCGTTCTTAAGAGTCCGACGGCGATTTGCTTATTGTGTATAGGTTTATTGATGTATTTATAGAGGTAAATGTTGTTTAAGGCGACTAAGAAATGTAAGGATCGGTCGAAATGTACAGAATTATAGTGTATGGGTATTGGAGATTTTGAGGCGTTATTTATTCATCAGTACCTAGTGGGTGGAACTTTTTGAAAAAATTTGGAGACGTACTACTCGATGTGCTGTATGTATTGTAGAATTTTTCGATATTCTAGACTGACGGCGTTCGGTTGCAAAAATGTAAGTACACTGTATGTGGAAGACTGTTTATTATAGAATTTTTCGAATTTCTAAGTCGACGCCTTTCATTAAATGAATTTTCAAATCCTAAGATCGCTTCTTAGAAAACATAAGTCAAACTTAAGGATTAAGTATTAAGTTTATTAATCATCGATCTCTTCTAAGTGAGCCAATTTTAATTGCTTTGCCCTATCTACTTTTCCAACACTCTTCCCTTTTTTAACCTTATTATTATTATTAATCTTTTTATCACCGACAACATATTCTGGCATCACAACTCTACTGCCTCTAAACACAGCCTTCTGCTCTTGTCCACTCTCCTCCAAATTCCTCCCACAATACAACTTAGACTCTTTACCATTAACATTAAATTCATTTTTTCCTTCTTCTTTCTTTACGATCTTCCCACGTTTCCCTTTAGACTTAAACAAAATCCTCCCAGAATCTTCAATATGTTTCTTCCCCTCTGATTTCCTCCTAGCTTTTAGTTCCTTAAGAAACGACAGGGCAGCCCTGGTATTGCTTTCCTCGCTTAAATCCTCATTGGCGACGTCCTCGAGGCTGTACTTAGTCCAACGATGCGGGTTTCTGTGGAAATCGGGGATGGTATGGTTTGCCGCTCTTGGCGCAGGTCCTTCAGGCCTCTTGAAGATGCTCTCGCGCCCTCGGAATCTACTCGTTATAGTTTTCCTACCTAGTTTTAATAACTGCGACCTGTAAACATGACTGTTGACGTCGAGTTCATTGACAATATTCACGTGTTCTGATAGAATTGTTATACAGAGTATTAGTTTATTTGAAATAACTTGTTAAGTATTCGTTTTATACATGAGAAAATGTTGTTAATAAAAATGGAAAGTAGTAGCATCAGCTACAAGGTTAAAAGACATGAAATAAATGATTGCTACTTACTACTACTACTACTATTACAATACAAATTTGATTGCAAAGATTTAATATTTGAGGTTTGGGTTTTGGTAAACTCTTTATCACCTGTCAACGTTGACATCAATGCCAATGCCAACATCAACATCTTCGATGAAATTTACATCTTCCATGTTAATGTTCGAGATTTGGGTTTTAGTTTTGTTGCACTCTTCCTCGGCAGTAGACAACTTGTCGAAGAGGAGCTTTTGACGGCTAGCAAACTCCGCATTCCCTGGAAGGCGGAGCTGGAATTCGACTCCATGCATCGTTCGATTTTGGTTGTCAATTATTTTCCAAGATTCTGTTTACGTGAAACTTCTGTTCTGATTATACTTATAGTTTTCGAGGTTAGGTGCTACTTAGAGACACAATTGTCAAGCTGGGGGCAGCACTGAAGCACTCAGCAAGAGTATGAATGCATCAGAGAAACACGAAAAACTGGGCATGAACCAGCAGGGCTCGGATATTTTATCCCGCACGGTTCGCTTCCCCTGTTTTTCGCCCGTATTTCGATCCCCACTACTATTCCCCTCATGCGTGCTCATGCGCGTTCGCGAAGCTCTCCGCAGCGGTACCGTGAAAATCAGTGCATACCCCCACCAACAAGATCCCTGGGGATCTCGTATCTTTCCGTACACGCCGGAAAGTGGGGACGACGCGACCATGGTGGGGACCAATAGTTGGTGGGGGTATGCAGTGATTTTCAAGATTTGTAGGCTTATTTTGGCTATACATTTCGTCAAGTTGGCAACGTGGATAGTAGAAATCGTTTGAAGCCAGAAACTATCGCGGCAATAACGAGAACAAAATTATACTTAAAAAACAATAAAAAAACATGTATGGATTATCGTGTAACAATGGACATGTTAAAATTATTCAATTGCACAATGTATAAGAGGAAAGCAATTCCTGCGGAGATAGGAAATATAATTGTACAAGATGAAACAGATGACACTGACACTACAAACACTGATGACGAATAAATATATTTTTAAACAAATAAAATTACATTTCTTTTATTATTTACCTCTCCCGAATAGATTCAATTTGAAATTTACAAACACGAAAAGCATACATTATTTCTCATACATTTATGCTTTTCAAATATATACATGCATATAAATTATATTCATTACATTTACTTTCGCTCTTCATAATAATTCATTTCGTCCGATTCAAATTCAGAAATCACTAGGACGAAATGTTATGCAGGTGGCGGTGCGGAGAGCTTCGCGAAGGCGCGTGAGGAGAATAGTAGTGGGGATCGAAAAACGGGCGAAAAACAGGGGAAGCGAGCCGTGTACGGAAAGATACGAGATCCCTGGCATGAACACTCATTTTTACACAAAAGGTCGTATGAAATTTTTTCGTGACTTCAATAAGTAACGAGTAAACTAATAAACTCATAGAAAATGATTTAGACACGTCAGCAAGTCTGAATATAAATCACATTTATTACGAAAGGTTGACAAGAAACTAGAAACAGAAACGGTCGGCGGTGGTCAGTGGTCCTGCGACTTTCAGTGATATAGAAAAACGTGGTAAATCCGAGGGATCCGCTACAAAAGGCACCCAATACAGTATATTTCAGCAAGTAATAAAATACATCAGTTAGTGTCAAATACGGTAAAATACTGAGAACGTAATCCTGCGCTTTGCACGTTAACATTAATATATATAATATATACAATCTTAACCTAGCGTTTAAACACTAATTAAAATGAAATCGAGGCGAATTAGTGAATAAATTAATTAATCATAAACAGCATCTGAGTTAACCCTAACCTAGCCTACATCGACCCTAATTGAAATTCAATCATCCCCTATCATCAGATCGCGATTCTCCGTATAACTCATTAAATTTTATTAAATCGAACCACCTGGGCGAACTGAATCTCCCGCGAAACACATTATATGGCCATTCAAAGAATAGAAATAAACAAATTCGGCCAGGTCGCCCGAGGAGGTTTACAAAATTACTAATGATGATAATAATAATGATAATGATAATAATAATAATCATCTTAAAGCTACGATCTGCGAAACGAAGCTCTGTCCATTTCGAAGGTATCAGTTTCCGATACCCTGGCAGACCTTTCCTTCAACAATAATTAACATCCGGCAATGCAGAATTATTTTAATAATCGCTGATTGCCTTGAAGTAATAAATAAAATAAATCTTCTTTTATAAACGTTCGACCATGTAACGATCGAAAATATTTGTTCGTATTAAAGAAAAAGGAAAACAATTAATATTATTATTAGATGTAATTGGAGCTACGAGTCTAATGTTTACATTATATTACAATGATTGTGTGCGTGATTTTTGACATTCCTATAAATTGGTGAAACGGCGGTGTCGATTCTGGTAATGTTCGGATATATGGCCACGCAACGATTTTTGGACCATGTGTGACCGGTGATCCGGAGGTGACTGAAATTTGATAAAAGATGATACGAAATGATTCGCAATAGTGTCCAGATACATAGCCACACGTGGCCCTAGGGGCCACACATCCGGACACTAATATAACCGCGAACGAGGAATGTCAATTTTTAATTAGAAACCACGATGGCAAACGGAATCGAATGAAAATTCTGTACAAATGTAGATGAGATCCAGTGTTGGATCCTTTAGCGTTGAGCACGTCACGGTGAAGATTAGATTAGATAAGAAAATACACATCTACTCCTGCGAAAAATCATTCCCCGATAGTGGAAGCGTATCAAAAAATAAATCGAGATTCATTAGGGAAACTGTACGTTGGTACGAGTAAATCATTTAAATCGTAATGGAATTAAAAAATAATTACAATCCGCGGAAAGTTCTTGGTCTTACGTACAATAAAACATATCCCTTAATAAACTATTCCCTCGATATATGAGTTCAATCCTCCAGGCGTGAATAAATTCTAAGGAATTTAAGGCTCCAATTTCTGTACAGTTTTTCTGTTACAATTATTATTAAAATTTGCAGATATCGGGACCTTAAAATGGCTCACTCTGTGCCAATTCACTCAAGCGCTAGTCAATGGCCAGACTCGTTGAACTTCCGAGCTAAATAGCGTAAGCTTATAAATTTATGGACATGTCTTGGTCGTATGGTGGCGAAAGATTGTTTTCGGACGAAGAAGCAGTCGCTGTCGCGGTCGTCGGTGATTGCAGCGGCGTGGAGGTGGTTGTGGGACTCTCGAGGTTCGAGTTCCAATGGCTCCGCTCGGTCCCCTCCCCGCCGTCGTCCGACACGATCGAAATATCAGCGATTATCCCGCTTTCTGCAATATTCCGACAACATTATTATTTTTAGGCATCGAATTCGTATGTCAAAAATTCTGAAAAAAATCAGAAATGTACTACTATCCTCGTGTTCTCGAGAGTTACCGGGCACAGTTCAGTTTGTAATCGTTCTGCGTATCTCAATGCTTTACCGCGTATACCAGTGGTGGGCAAACTTTTTTAATGGGGGGCCACAAAGTTTAAGAAATTCTAGAGGAGGGCCAGAATTATAGAAAAAATGCACTTTATAGTTCTCGACCGTGAAAACGTAATTATAGCGGGCCATATACTATCCATGTCGATGGGCCCTCGGCGGGCCGGATTAAATAATTTTGCGGGCCGTACTTTGCCCACCACTGGCGTATACTGAACCGTGTGAAGGGAGTTCGCTGCAACCCCCACCACCTTCCAAGCTGCGCGAAACGGTCCTAAATTCTCGGGAACACGAGTATATATAAGTAGTATATTTGAACATTTTTTTAGATTCGTATTTTAAAAATTGAAATAGTAGTATTCCCAAAGAATGGATATGAACTTTAACAGTGGTCTTCATTCAGATTTATCTTTCCGTCAATGCAGCCATATGACTCAAATAGAAATGAGGAAGAGCACTGACCGACGCTGCACTGGCTGTTAAGAGTGGTGCTTCGATGATGAGGACGAGGGCTCGTGTCTAAGCCGAGGTTCAAGGTCGTCGGTGGCCCGCTGCTCCCACCGCTGCTCGACGAGGAACTCACGGAAATCACGCTGTGAGGTCTTCTACTACAGCGGGTCGAGTCGTCAGACGTGGACACAGCGATGGAATTCCGGAATCTCGGAGCTGAAACACCGTACATTGTGAGTTTGACCTGATTAAGTATCTTTTTTTGAGTGTGATCATAATTTTTAATTAATAGACGTTTCGGATTTGATTGGAGTTGAAAGTAACTTTGCTAGATGCGCGGCAGTTTCTGCTTGAAAGTGAGCCTTCGTTGAACTTTGTAGAATTATTAGAAGCCGAAATATGGCGATTTTTTTAAAAATGACCTAAGTTAACTGACTGGCCCAAAAGTCTAATGGGAAGGTTTTTACTACAATGACGATATCTATGGTTTTGTTGGGCCTACAGAATCCTACTGTTGGGAGTCATTTTAAAGCTGAAACTTCGATCTATAACATACTCCAATCTTAAGGCAACAACACTACGACTAGTCTTATAAAACCTACTTTTTGACAATTGGGCAACACTGATCGACCGGTCGTTGATTTGGTCTGCACTGGGCCTGATGTCTAGGCAAGGCTTATTCCCAATCCCCATACTCGACATCTCCGCCAGGCGCACTTCTAGTTTTCACAGAGAAACAATTATCAATTATCGTTACACCGATAATAACATTATTTTTATAAATAATTCATTAATATTGATTCTGCCACTACTATTCCTCCCGCGTGCCTTACTCATGCTCTCCACGATGCCCCACCACTTTAGATTAAGGCCCCCACTACTCTCCCTGAAATCCTGCAAATCCTTCGATATGGCATGGAGTGGGGATGCGCTAAGTAGTGTATTTAAGTTGTTGAATTTAACAAACCTCTGTTTCTCAGCGCCTGTTTCCACAGGAGGTTGCTCAGCTCCTCCGTCCAGGCTCTCTTTATCTCCTCGCTGGCGCACTGGAGCGTGTAAGTATCGCCTGGCTTACGTTTTCTGAACCAAATCTCGAACTTCGTTGGAGAGTCAGCTATTACTGCTGTCAGACCAATGTCTGTCGTTTTTATGCTGTGCTTGTAGATGTATATATCCAGATTCTACAAAAGTCAGAAGATAACTTACAATTATTCGTCGCCAGAGGTCTTGAGAATAAAAGGAAGCTAGAGTCATTCTAGCTCTAACTTAGTTATTAGATTCCAAGAATGTTTAGCATTTCTTTTTTGATGGGCTACCTTTCGGTCGGGGAATCGTCGGGCCTTGCTGAAGAGGATCAGGTCTTCGAATAGGAAGACCTGTCGCAAGCATTTTTTGCCCTTGCCCTGCCATACCAGGAATTCATTTTGCCTCAACAGTCTACCCTGCTCCTTCACGTTTACCTAACAAATATTTCATTAATGATTTAATTATTAATTTTTTTCTGTTATAGTATATTAGAAATTACTAAATACTCTACTGAATTATTTGTAACTTTTATAATTTGTTTAAATTTTTTCACTAGCAATTTACTTAGCAAAACATTCCTATATTTAATAGGGATATAATAAACAAATTTTTGGGTCTTACGTCGCAGTCCCTAAGAGAATCCATAGCCAGTAGGTCATTTCCATGCCTGAGCTGGAAACGAACCATCTGCTCTGCAGACCTCAAGTCAGCCTCGCCTTCAACCATAGGCTTCATGCCATCATCCTTCTCATCCTTTCCATCCCCGGACATCTGCTCGGACAAGTCAGTCCCAGCCTTTACCAACTGCTGCAAAAGCAACGCGTACTTCCCCATCCTCTGCACTGGCTTCAGCAAGTAGCTGGCCAAGTCCATTTTGTCGCCTAGCTCCAATTGCTTTTGTTTGAAAAACGTCGTTCCGTATTCTGCCATAAGTGAGTCGGAGTTCGGCTTGTTCTTGTTATAGAGGGCGTATAAATAGAATTTCTTCTCCTAGAAACAAAATGGTGGTTTTAGGGTTCAGGGAATTATTAGATTGATAAAAATTGTTGATTTTGAGAATAACTTACGTGTCTCAGGAAGCATTGGCCGACGTTCATCGGCGACTGCTCGCATTGTTCAAGTTCTCTCAAGAAGTGCTGGCTGTGAAACTCATAGATCTTCTCCACGTTCCCGAAGATCACGTTCCGCTGCCCGCGGAGAGCCTGCGGTATGTCTTCGCGCACCAGCTCCGGGATGTAATTCTGTTTTTTGAAATTTGAAGTGCAACGATTTTTATGGTAGCTCAATAGCATTTTCAAAACATATACGATTTTAATACAAGTTCAACAAAACAATAATTAAAGTTTCTAACTTTCATTTTCCGCAAAAAAATACAGGGTTTCCGTGAAGATTGTTTAAAAAAATGCATTACAAAATTCTCATTTTTAACACGGGAGCTTATGGAAACTTTTGTATAAATGCCTCGTGAG